CGAGGGTTCTAACAGCAGACCCTCCTCTGAAAGGCTGTCCCCGAGCCCACTGGACAGCTACACCTTAGAGCGCCTCCTGCCAGCGTGTCGCCTCCAAGGCGCCCTCTTCCTCCTCCTCCTCCTCCTCCTCCTCCTCCTCCCAAATACCCTTCAGCGCCTGCGAGAATGCCCAAGGCATTCCGCGAAACGCCCGTGGTTTCAAACATGGTCTCATAGCAACGCCAGATGGAAAGGGTCCAAACCAGCTCCGGATGGCGCCCAATGTAGTTCAAGATGGCCCAAGATGGCCTCCAATACAACCTAAGACCATCATCGTGGGCATAGGAGTTCCCAGGCAAGCCCCTGACAGGCGAAACAAATTCCGAAACAACGTGTTGCCACCAAATACGTGCCCTTTGCCACCCCTTTGGGCCTCAAATGGGATCAAAAATCAAGAGGCCCCCGGGAAGGCTTCCTCACGGCCTGAAGACAGCGCAATACTGTCACAGGACGGCTCCGACTGAGATTGGTCAAAGACGGCTCCAACGACCCGAGGCAACCCCACGACAACCTCGGGACACCAGACGACCACTCATGGACTGGCCAACCCGAGCAGGTCCCAAGAAACATCTATAAAATTCCCACAAAACACCTCCCAACATGTCCCCACGGGACCTCCGGAAAGCCCCTGCGAGGCAGCACACACTGACGACGGAACTTCGGCTCTTGGCTCTACACCAGCATCCACAATTCGCGCGGGTGTTACAACAGGGCATGAATCGGCGATGACTCGCCGCAAGCGTCGTCGATCGCGGCAATGAACGAACCACGATGGAGCAGCGCTTGCGACGGAATCCTGGGGCACGTCTGCGCCGAGAGGCGTCTAACACTCTGTGCTGGAACGTGAAGAAACGGGTGTCGGCCGCGCAAGTCAGCAAACCGTGCTACACCGTTTCAGACACCAAGCTGCTATGGATCAAGGAGCCGGGCGGAGGGCTCCCTCCGCCAAAGGTATTCAGGACCAGCGTGTTCTGCTAGGGCAGGCTGCCTGTGAGAAGGATGCACTGTGGGCCCATACGTTGGTGCTTTACCAAGGGAGCACGGATCTGGTTTCGAAACAAACAAAGTATTCCAAACCTTTGACTGAACAACGCCGGACTGAGACTGAACCACTTCCCGAACGAAAGGAAATACCAGGACGGCAACCCTAGCACGAAAGAACTTCTCATCCTCATCCGCCCCCGCCCGATCACGAATCCCGCCCTCCAATGCAGCACGGTATTATAGCTCAACGAGGCCGTGTGTAGAAGCTGTGTGCCCCGACCAGGCCCCATGTGCGAATTGGGTGTAGCGCATGGGCGGCATGAGATTCATCCTCGTGGTCCTCCTCGGCATTCTGTACAAGCGTCTGCGGCGCCGAGGGCCCCGCCTGACAAGCTCAGGTCCAGCAGCGGGTTCCTGAAGGCACTGTTCGGGTCGCCGCGTGACGTGACCACGCTGGGCGAGGGCAGCACGTCGGACACCTGCCACCCCTGGCACCCGTCGCTCATCCCCCTGGCCCTTGCTGCACATTTGACAATGCCCTTGCGAAGAAGACGGGTACAGGACACCGATGGGCGGGAACAGCATGAGCAAGGCGCGAGCTAGCGACTCACATCCACCATCGCGCCTCTGGCACGTGCTGGAAGGATATCAGGTCCTGGATGGTTTTTACCAACCAGCGAAGACTGATAGGTTTCTAGTAGGGTCAAAAGACAGCATCATGACGCCCCAAGGGGGTCTGGGCGCGATCCGGGGGAGGGTGCCGGGGACCTTTTTTGACCAACAGTTACACACTTCGTGGTCTTCGAGGTCCCAGAACTCTATTCCCGGGCCACATTCTGAATGCCCGGAAACAACTGTAGGCCACTTCGTGGTCTTCGAGTTCCCAGAACTCCATTCCCGGGTCACATTTTGAATGACCGGAGCCAACTGTAGGCCACTTCGTGCTCTTCGAAATCCCAGAACTCCATTCCTGGGTCACATTTTGAATGCCCGGAGCCAACTGTAGGCCACTTCGTGGTCTTCGAGTTCCCAGAACTCTATTCCTGGGCATGATTTTGAATGCCCGGAGCCAACTGTAGGCCACTTCGTGTTCTTCGAGTTCCCAGAAATCCACTCCCGGGCCACATTTTGAATGCTGAGGCAGGCTGATGCTGAGGCTGAGGCAGGCGGAGGCTGAGGCAGGCTGAGGCTGAGGCCGAGGCTGAAGGCTGACTGAGGCTGAGGCTGAAGAAGGCTGATGCTGAGGCTGAGGCAGGCTGAGGCTGAGGCTGAGGCAGGCTGATGCTGAGGCAGGCTGAGGCTGAGGCTGAGGCTGATGCAGGCTGAGGCTGAGGCAGGCTGAGGCTGAGGCCGAGGCTGAAGGCAGACTGAGGCTGAGGCTGAAGCAGGCTGAGGCTGAGGCTGAGGCAGGCTGAGGCAGGCTGAGGCTGCTGATGCTGAGGCTGAGGCTGAGGCTGATGCAGGCTGAGGCTGAGGCAGGCTGAGGCTGAGGCTGAGGCAGACTGAGGCTGAGGCTGAGGCTGAGGCTGAGGCTGAGGCTGAGGCTGAGGCTGAGGCTGAGGCAGGCTGAGGCTGAGGCAGGAGGCAGGCTGAGGCTGAGGCTGAGGCTGAGGCTGAGGCTGAGGCTGAGGCTGAGGCTGAGGCTGAGGCTGAGGCTGAGGCTGAGGCTGAGGCAGGCTGAGGCTGAGGCTGAGGCTGATGGCTGAGGCAGGCTGAGGCTGAGGCTGAGGCTGAGGCAGGCTGAGGCAGACTGAGGCTGAGGCTGAGGCAGGCTGAGGCAGGCTGAGGCTGAGGCAGGCTGAGGCTGAGGGAGGCTGAGGCTGAGGCTGAGGCTGAGGCTGAGGCTGAGGCTGAGGCAGGCTGAGGCTGAGGCTGAGGCTGAGCAGGCTGAGGCTGAGGCTGAGGCTGAGGCTGAGGCTGAGGCTGAGGCTGAGCAGGCTGAGGCTGAGGCTGAGGCTGAGGCTGAGGCTGAGGCTGAGGCAGGCTGAGGCTGAGGCTGAGGCAGGCTGAGGCTGAGGCTGAGGCAGGCTGAGGCAGGCTGAGGCTGAGGCTGAGGCTGAGGCTGAGGCTGAGGCTGAGGCTGAGGCAGGCTGAGGAGGCTGAGGCTGAGGCTGAGGCTGAGGCTGAGGCTGAGGCTGAGGCAGGCTGAGGCTGAGGCTGAGGCTGAGGCTGAGGCTGAAGGCTGAGGCTGAGGCTGAGGCTGAGGCAGGCTGAGGCTGAGGCTGAGGCAGGCTGATGCTGAGGCAGGCTGAGGCTGAGGCTGAGGCTGATGCAGGCTGAGGCTGAGGCAGGCTGAGGCTGAGGCCGAGGCTGAAGGCAGACTGAGGCTGAGGCTGATGAGGCTGAGGCTGAGGCTGAGGCTGAGGCTGAGGCAGGCTGATGCTGAGGCAGGCTGAGGCTGAGGCTGAGGCTGATGCAGGCTGAGGCTGAGGCAGGCTGAGGCTGAGGCCGAGGCTGAAGCAGGCTGAGGCTGAGGCTGAAGCAGGCTGAGGCTGAGGCTGAGGCAGGCTGAGGCTGAGCAGGCTGAGGCTGAGGCTGAGGCAGGCTGAGGCTGAGGCAGGCTGAGGCTGAGGCTGAGGCAGGCTGAGGCTGAGGCTGTGACTGCGAATGCCGTTGCCACTGCGACTGCCATCGCGAATGCGACTACGACTGCGAGAACAGCAGAATTCTACAACAGGATTCTCATCTGAATCTGAAAGGGAATGCTTCCAAATATGCTCCTACACATCGCCGTTAGGTTGCTTTGCCAGGATATTTGGATAGGGGGCACAGACATGCTCCTGTACATGAAAGCCACGTGCGCACGGTGTCCGAGCGCTCGCGGAATTGTGTTTTGGAGCCCACGCGACCAGCACTCTTCAGGATGGTCCCTGAAGCCCGCGTTAAGCTCCTCGGGGGCGGTCTTGCAAACGTCCTCAGGACGGCCCCAAAAGGGCCCCAGCAACATGGCCGAGGACCCGCCTTCCCTCCCAACTGTCGGGGGCAACGTGTTGGGCGGGGGGGGGACAAGCTCAGGGGAATACAGTACAGTAGGAGCTCGACCACAAGGAACCTTCCACAAGAAACCCAACCCTGAGACCCCGGGACAGCCATTGATTTCATGTCTTATGCGGGAAGCGAAGCTGCCCATAGCACAGCCATAGAAAACCAAGAAACCCAGGGCCCCCTGGAGACAAGCAGGGTGTTTCTTGGCATGGCATTCCACTGTAAGCATCCCCCAGAAATCGGCGATGCATTGCCGATAACTCGGCGATGGGCGCCCGGGACTGAAACCACAAGTTCACGGTCGGGATAGAGTTAGGTCGGGCATGTCCTCCTACAGGCGGATTTTGGAAGAAAAATGAAAAATAAGAAATCAAGCACAAAAATACTAGAAAAATCGTCCCCAGACAATTTCTGGATTATTTTTGAATATTCCCTGTGTAGAGGGACGACATGCCCGACTGATGGGTAGGGCATTGGGCCCTTATTTGCGATCTATGGTCAATTGGGGGTCGATGCGTCCCACCCGGAGCCTATCGCTCCATAACGTTGTACCTGAAGCACGTAGGTCCCCGAGGTCCCCAGGAGGATTCCAAGAGGCCCCTAAAGGCGGACCGGAGAACAACTACACAACCAAATGGCCGCCAACGGACGCCCACATCCAAGGGCAGCCACAAGAATCCCATGTCGTGCTCCTCGGAGCCCTTGTTGGCGGCTCTCTGGGGCGATGGATGGGCGGACGGGGCAACGGGGCCCACTACGCCTCGAGCCACAACCCAGGCATGACGGCGGGATGAGCTCACGGCCGTCGTATGCATCGCCTGCGTACTCGATGAGCGAATGGGGGGACACGAGGGCATTTTTTGGGATAACTGACAGGAGACGCGGGGGAGGAAGAGGGAAGATGGATGAGAGAGAAAGGTAGCGAGAGAGCGAACCTTGGAGGAAGAATGAGGGGATGGGGCGCGAGACGAGTATAAAGGCGATGATGTATGTTTTGTTCGGGAGGGGCAGGAGGCCGCGGCAAGCGCAGCGGCGCGCGGAGAGGGCGAGGTGGCCGGCAGGGGGGTGGGCTTGCCGAAGGCGCCCCGCTCAGCCGAAGAGGTCGAAGTCCACGTCCTCCTCCTCCTCCTCCTCCTCGACCTTCTTCTCCTCCTTCACGGCGGCCGCCTCGCCGCCTCCCCCGCCGCCGCCACCGCCGCCTGCCGCCGGGGCGCCGCCCCCCCCGCCGCCGCCGAAGCCCTTCAGCTTCTCCTTGCCGTCCTTGATGATCTCGAAGATCGTCTTGCCCTCGAGCTCCGACACGAGCTTCCCGGCGACCTCGCCGTCGTACTCGGACTCCACGGACTCCAGCACCTTCTGGATGTCCGCCGCCGTGGGGGCCTCCTTGCCCGCCAGCACGCACATCAGGTACGCCGCCGGGTACTTCAGCGTCATCCCTCGCCACCGATCGCCGTGCACGGCCGGGGAGGGGGCGACTGGCGGGCTGTGCCGACCGAGCCCCTTGACTCAAAATGGCTGGAGTCCAAACGGCTGCGTAGGCGCCGAAGGCGATGACGAGGGACGTGGGGAGGCCGAGGCAGTGACGGAGGAGAAGCAGAGGCCGAGAGGGGGGCGGGCTGCCCGCAGGAAAAGAATCCATGGCAAAACCAGAGGCCAAGGATCGGCGCGATCGAAATGCATACGGACATCGCAGGTGCGATGCCCGACCGGCAGCTGCCGCTGTTGGGCACGCGACTGGGCTGCCTCCAGTGGATCACGTCCGCGGCGACGCCAACAACGAGACCAGCTCAAAAGGGAGCTCCAGCCGGCTGCTACAGCCCTTCTTTCCGTGCCAGCTCCGCCCGTGCCGAGCAGTCAGCAGGGGCGGACGACCCGCCCAGCTCCCGCCCGGGGAAGCCCGTCCCGCTCGAGCGCCAGCGGCCGCACGTCTGCGGAGGCGCTGCGGAAGGCCTGCGCGGGACAGCGGGGCAGGCAGCCCGCCCGGCATCCTCTGCCGAGGCCACCCGTGCGTGACTCGTGCCGTCCCTTCCTACGCTCCGGCTGGGCCCAGAAGCTGTCCGCCCCGCCGCCCCGCTCTGTGGATGTCGCTGGCGCACTACACTTGCAACTGATGCACCGAAGAATGTGGGAGACTCTCCCTCCGTATCCCTCGTTCCTGCTCCTTCTCCTCCCATCCCTCCCTCCCTCCAAACCGCGTTTGACATCTCACATCTTCGAGTACCGTCGGCAGTTGATCATCATCATCATCATCATCATCATCATCATCATCATCATCATCATCATCATCATCATCATCATCATCATCATCATCATCATCATCATCATCAATCATCATCATCATCATCACATCACCATCACCATCACCATCATCATCACCATCATCATCATCATCATCATCATCATCATCATCATCATCATCATCATCATCATCATCATCATCATCATCTCCGGGCGCTCGAACGCCATCCTCCCTCTTCCCTCCTCCTCCCCCTTCCTTCTTCTCCCCTCCTCCCCTTGCCTCCATCCTCTCATCTCCTCCCCCCCTCCCTCTTCCCCTCCCCTCCCTTCCTCCATCCCTCCTTCCCGCAAGCCCCCTCCTCTCTTCTCCCTCCCCCTGCCTCCATCCCCCCCTCCGCTCCCCTCTCTCTTTTCCAAACTCCACATGGCAACTACAAAGTGGTTGTGAACAGGAGACCACGAGAGCGACGCGCGCAAGCGAACCCGTCCTGCGACAAGACTACCGGAGCGCAGCTCAAAATTGCTCCCCCGACCCTTCTCGCGGGGCCAAGCGCATCAGCTTCCCGAGCTGCATCCAGCCATGGCGACTGGGGCCTCCCTCCGGAGGCCACCTACCGTTGTCTGAACTCGCCCTCCTTTGATATCCTATCCTGGCGGCGAGCGTGGGAGGGAAGTGAGAAGGAGAAGGCATTCTCGGAAGGCTCGGAAGTCCCCCAGCCATCTGAGAAGCTTTCGATGCCTTCCCCGAAGAAAGAAACAACTTCCCAGAAGGCGCGAGGGCTTCTGAGAAGCCCCGCCGCCCTCTGAGAAGGCCTCTTCCTTCCCATTCCCCCCCTCGCTCGCCGCCGATTATTGGGACAGTTCACGGACATAAGCTCTCGGAGCGGGGGATTACAGCGCCGACGCAAGACGTACGCACGGACCTGTCGAAAGTGTACGGTATTGCGGATGTCCATTCTTCGAATACAGTAAGCACATACGAAACAAAGAAAAAACAAAAAAAAAAAAAAAAACGTTTGCTATCAGAAATGTCGGGGACAATCCTTCGCCGACTCTGAGCCTCGTAAGGCGCCTCAAGCTCTGCGGGCACGTCGCGAGATAAAAAAAACGTGTGGCACCCGTTGGCGGGCCAATTACCTATTTGGCGCGCGCGCGGTAGGGCCGAGAGGCGAACCAGACTTCCTCTGCCCACTGCTCCTGCTTAGGGGGTCCCCAAACGGGGTGGTGACCACACCGTGCGGTGAGTCGGTGGGGATTCGGGGTCACCGCACGGTTTTGGGACTCGGGTCCCTCTCCGAGGACGTCTCGGGCGACTGGGGCCTCCGAGGTCCCAAGACCGTGCAGTGACAGACCGTGCGGTGAGGTCTTGGGGGATTTCGAAGTCACCGCACGGTCTGTCACCGCACCGTTTCGGGACTCCAGACTGCTGGGCGCGCGCTCGCGCACGCACCGGCGCGCTTGCGCGGGGCCCTCTCCCCCCCGGCAGCGCCTCCATTGGTGCCCCCGCCAGGCCTGAGCCCCCGGCCGGTCGGCAGCACAACCCCTGAGCAGGGCCGCGGCCCCTCGAGCCGCAGGGGCCGGCGAGGGCCGCCACAGCTGCTGCCGCCGCTGCCGCCGCTGCCCCTGCTGCCGGTACTGCCGCTGCTGCCGCTGCCGCTGCCGCTGCCGCTGCTGCTGCCGCTGCCGCTGCCGCTGCCGCTGCCGCTGCCGCTGCTGCTGCCGCTGCTGCTGCTGCTGCTGCTGCTGCTGCCCTACTCCTCTGCCTTGAAAGTGGGGAGGGGGTGAGAGAGCCAGGCGGACAGGGAGGGGGGAGGGCGGAGGGGGCACGGCCAGAGGGGGGCTAGTCATCAGGTGCCAACTTCGCCGCAGCTGTGCGTACACGTCCCCACTGAGCCAGGGCACCTTCGCGCCACCAGCGGCCCCCACTCCCCCTTCGTGGGTGGAGACGGAGGCCGCGCAGCCCGACGCAGAGAGAGCATCTATTCCCACATGGGGGAGTGAGTCGGACCGTGCATGCAACTGGTGTTTCCAGTGCCTCCTGGCGCTGGAGGCGGCCATGTGTCGAAAAAACTGCGCGGCGCTGGGGCCGAGACCAGTTGCGTGCGCTGGCTTGCGTAATTCCCCCCACACACCCCAGTACTTCCAGATCTCTGAGGGTATACACTAGGGGTCGATGCACAAGAAACCCAACGCAAAACACCCAACCCTGAAATCCGCCGAAGTTTCTTGGTCCAGGGTTGGGTTTCTTGCGCTTCGGCTGCAAACGAAGAAACCCATGGCACTCTGGCCCGAGCGATATCTTGACTGACGGCGCCGAACAATTTGACATCAAGACACCCAAGGCGATCGACAATGCGAGCTGCGGGCCTTGTACAACCAGAAAGGCCACGACGTTTCCTCGGAAGAAAAAAACGTTGCGCCCGAATGGCCAGCGAAGAAACCCAAGGTACCCCGAATGCCCGGAAGTTTCTTGGAGGTTCGGGCACGCGCCCCGAAACTGACCGACGCCCGAGAAACACAGGGTGCGCTGGCATTTGCAGTTCCTTCGAGATTGCTGTGACCTTCCGCGCCGAAGGTCAACCAGGGGGGAGGACGAGGGAGAGGAGTGAGGAGGGAGGAGTGAGGAGGGAGGGGGGAGGAGGAGGAGGAGGAGGAGGAGGAGGAGGAGGATTACCAGGATTACCGCCTTGACAGATGTCAATACTACCGCCACTCCCCAGTTATACTTCGGGGAAGAAATCGCGTGATATACTGTCGAGATATTCTCGACGTTCGTCACAGACATCGGCTTGCAGGGCCCTCCAAGATCACGAATTTGGGACTGACTGGAAAAGCCACACACACACTGCGCAATACCATATATCTAACGTCACGTGATAAAACATGCTGTGAGAGGGGTGGGCCCGACCGCCAGCTATATATATATATATATATATATGTGTGTGTATAGATATATTATACATACATATATATATATATATACATATATATATATATATATATTACCCGGGACCCCAAGGGCGTCCATGGACGCCCTTGGAAAAGGTTCGCTGGCCTTTCCGGGCCTCCCAGGGCGCATTGACAGGCCTTGCGAGCAGACTCAAGGTGATTAGAAGGGTCATCGGAGAGGCGCAAAATAGACCCAAGACAGCACACGGGCGCTTCAAGAGGCCCCCAAAACGCCCCAAAAGGCTGTTCAGAGAACCCCAACGAAGCAAAAAACGCCCCATTCCCTTGGGAAAATAAACATTTGTTGCATACCCGCTTTGTTGGCCTTTACAGCGTCCAATTCCGGCCCGATGGGCCACCGATATCGCCCCAAGACGGCTCAAGAGGCGCCCCACATGGCTTCACGACGGCCCACGAGGGCCCCAAGACTGCCCCAGAAAGCCTCGGACTGCCCACAAAAGACCCAGACGCCCCCCAAAAAAACCCAAGAGAGACCCAAGAAACCCACGGGAGATCCCCAGGAAGGCCTTCGGAGGCCCCAAAGAGGCCCAAAATGGCTTCCGAAGACTTCTGGAGGGACCCAGCTACCCACAACGGCCCAAGAAGGCCCCAAGACGGCCCAGGAAGGCCCGAGGACGGCCCCCAAACAACACCCAAACACCTAATCCTTCTGCCCGCCGTGCCCTTTGGCGCCCGCGTGGTGGCGCTGCTGGGCTAGCTTCGATGAGGATTTCTTTGCAGCCAGGCGCGCGTTGCGCTCACGCAAGCCAGCCTGTCCTTCCCGTGCTCCTATCACCCTCTCTCTCTCTATTTCTTTGTCTCTGTCTCTCTCTCTCTCTCTCTTTCTGTTTTTCTGTCCCTTCCTTTTCTGCCTTCTTCGTCGACTTCCACGTTCGTGGCATCCGATGGCCATCCTCATTCGCCCGCTCCTTCCTCTGAACCTTCTCGCCCTTTCTCCCCCCTTCCTCCCCCCTTCCGCCTCCTCAGCCCCCCCTTCCTCCCTGCTGCCTTCCTGTTCCCCATTCATGGACAGGTGCCACCGTAACAGTTTGATGCTTCGCCGTTTGCCACCACCATCGCGCGTGAGAAAATCATCATTCCTTCCCCATGCCTGCGCACAAGCGTGCAAGTGCATCGGACGAGGGCGGTGTCAGCAGGCGCCAGTCGCCCGTGCAGACCCTCAAGTCCCTATGCTACCACAAGCGATGATTAATTGTTTTGCCAGGGAAGCGTCTGGAACAAGGCGCATGGCGCGAAGCGCCAATGCAGTCTTGTGTATATGTGTGTGTGTATATATATATATATATATATATTTCCCCCTCGGGGTGGCCTGGAAATTCTACAATTCACGTTTTCCAAGTGCGAGCATTCCGTACTAGGCCAGCTACGGACACGCGCTACAGACGCACTACCTCTACACACAGTAGACGTCTTCCCGTCGTCCCCTAGCGTGTGTGCAGCCGCGAAGCGTGCAAC